TTTAAATTTATTGTTAATTTCAAATATAGGAATGATCGAGAGGGTGGAAATTGGGGAACATCTGGGGGCAACTGATCATTGTTCCATTAAGTTCGATGTTTTGCAGCATATGGAGATAAGGAATAATGATATTTTGGTTACAAATTTCGAAAAAAACAAAATTTGAAGGGATGCAACAAAAATTATCTGTTGTGAATTGGGAAGTTGAGTTATTTGGAGACACTGATCAGATGTGGAAAATTTTTAAACATATATTTTTAAATACTCAAGGTAAATTCCTTACAGAAAGAAAAGGGTAGCTGTAAGTAAAAAACCAGATTGGCTCACAAAGAGTTTAAGAGATAAAATTAAAGAAAAGCGTCATAAATTTAAGAAATTTAAATTGACTGATACAACAATAGATTTAGAAGATCAACAAAGTTGGTGAAACAGGAAATTAGGACATCAAAAAAGGATGTATGAGAAGAGGTTGGCTGAAAGTGTAAAAATTAACAGTAAGGATTTCTTTAAATGCATTATGGGTAAAAAATTGTTAGGATGGGGGTAGGACCCTTGAGGGATCATAAAGGAAGGCTAATATCTGATGATTATGAGATGGCTGGGTTATTAAATTTTGCTTTTTCTGTGATTTTTACAAATGAAGATTTAAGCAGTATTTCATATCTTGAATAGTTGATAAATGGAAATAAGATCAAACAAGATGACTGCATTAATTCTGAGATGGTTAAGAAAAAATTGGGAAGTTTAAAAAACAATAAGGCTCCCAGGCCAGATATTTCGTCAAGGTTTTTGAATGAGGTTAAAGATTGGATTATGAGCCACTTACTACTATTTTTTTGTCAGTCCTTCAATAATGAGCAGGTACCAGAGGATTAGAAGTTAGCTAATGTAACTCCTCTTTTCAGGGGAGGTTATAAAATTTGTCCCAGTCATTAACAGATTTATTAGTCTTGCATCAGTTGTGGGAAATGTTTTGGAAAGTCTGTTAAAAGATGCTTTGCAAAGTCATTTAACAAAATTTAGAATTTTATTGGATAGTCAACATGGTTTCATTAAGGTAAAATCTTGCCATACAAATCTTTTGACATTCTTTGAAAAGATTACTGCTCATGTAGATGAGAGTAAGGGTGTTAATTTGGTGTATCTGGATTTTCAGAAAGCATTTGACAAGGTGCCACATAAAAGGCTTGTAAAAACAATGATCTCTATAGGTGTGGGGGATGAGTTAGCCACTTAGATAAAAGAGTGGCTGGATGGAAGAAAGCAGAGGGTTGTTAAAAATGGAGTTCAGTCAAACTGGATTAATGTCACAAGTGGGGTACCTCAGGGCTCAGTCTTAGGACCTTTGCTGTTTTTGATTTAAATCAATGACATAGATGAAGGAATAGTCAATAAATTACTTAAATTTGCAGATGATATTAACGTCTTTGGTGTTGCTAGCTGTGAAGAGGATGCTGCTGATTTACAAAAGGATTTAGATCATTTTGTGAGTTGGGCAAATAAATGGCAAGATGAGTTTTAATTATAATAAATGCAAGATAATGCATGTGGGTTATTATAATTTGAACTATAAGTATAATTTGGATGGGAACAAACTTAACTGTGTTATGAAGGAAAGGGATCTTGGTGTAATAGTTTTCAGTCTCTAAAGCCATCCAAGAAGTGTGCTGTTGCTAGTGGTAGGACAAATAGGAATTTAGGTTGTATCTACAGAAATATCAAATACAAGGCTAAAGAGTTTATAATTTCATTGTACAGGTCACTGGTTAGGCCACATTTGGAATATTGCATTCAGTTTTGGACTCCTTACCTTAGGAAAGACATTGAATTGTTGAAAAGGGTTCAGAAAAGGGTTACTGAAATGGCCATAAAAAGAGAAGCTGAAATCTCTCAAATTGTTTTCTCTTGAAAAAAGAAGTGTTAGGGGGGATATTATTGATGTGTTTAAGATTGTAAAGGAAACTGATAGTGTTGATGCATCATCTTTTTTTTTCATATTTAACAGTGAGAATAGTAGTACTAGGGGACAAATATATACATTTTGGCAGGGTAGGAGTCATCTTCAGCTTAGACATTTGATTTTTTCTAACAGGATAGTTGGCCTTTGGAATAGGTTGCCTTCGGATGTTGTAGAGGTAGTAAATTTAAGTAAGTTTAAGAAAAAGCTTGATAAGTATATGAATGATAGGGGCTGGCTTTAAAATGTTTTAAAAGTTATTTTAATTTAGTTTAGACGATGGAACAGCTGAGATGGATCAACAGGTCCCATGTTGTCCCAAAATGTTAAGTTATAAAATAGTAGCTTAATAAAATTTTATATGCAAGTCTACAAATGTGATGACATGCCCTTTGACCCCTGACCATAGGAAAACCCATAATGATAGGATTAACCTGAATAGTGTTATAGAAGAAAAGGATATTGGTATTTTTGTTGATCAGTCCCTTAAACCATCCAAGTAGTATGCTGTTGTTAGTGTGTAGGGCAAATAAAATTTCATGTATTATTTACTGAAATATTATAATTTTATTGCACAGTTAGACCTTATTTGAAGTATGCATTCAGTCTGAGGCACCTTACCATAAAAACAACATTGAATTATTGGAAAATATTCAAATGAGGGTTACTAGGATGATTCCCTGGGTGCAAAGATTGTCTTATAAGGATAAGTTAAGATCTCTGAAATTGTTTTCTCTTGAAAACAAAAATGAAGAGTTAGAGAAGATCTGGTAGAGGTGTCTAAGACTGTTATGGGGATTAATAGAGTTGTGGAACATCTTTTTTCATTCTTAATGGATGTGAATACTAGGGCTAGGGAACACAAGTAAATTTTGGCAGGGTAAGAGTCACATTTAACTAAGAAAGTTTTTATTTCTAACAAGGGTGGTCTACCTTTAGAATTGGTTGCATTCAAATGTGGTGGATGCAGTAAATGTAAAGGAAAAGCTAGATAAATATGTAGATGACAGCGGCTGGCTTTGAGGTGCTTTTTCATTTTTTAGCTTAGATTGATGGATAGGACAGACTCAGTGGTAAGACGGGCCTTTTGTTGTCCTTAAATGTTAAGTTGAACAAATACTTGATAAGTGACTAATTGTATAAGTACACAGTAATGAATTAGTGTTACATAATTTGGGTCACACACTTAACCCTCTCTCTGCTGATACACCTTGTAACTTCTGTTCAGAGCAAATGTTTGAAAAGTAACGTACAATATGTAGATCAGTTTACCAATACATTACAATGTTAAGTTTCTGAATAATACCAATAACAAACATCAACATAAACTCTTTTCTTTGCTCGTTGTCAAATACCATTCTCTAATACATGATATCAGGTTATTCTCAGTAAAAAATTTTTGGGTGTAAGTGTCTGTTTCACTAACCAAAAAACTGATAAAGTCTTCATTATGAACAGGTTTAAACAGTTAGGTGAAGTGGATGAAATCCTGTTGTGTCAACTTGAATAGCAGCTGCATCATCAAAAGCACCAGTGCTTGGAGGTATCAAGTTTGCCTTCATCCTGCAATCAACTAAATATTCTTGCAGTAATCTTTTGCTTATTTTGAGGTTCACTTTTGTCAGTGTCTTCACCTGCTTGATCATTGTTTAATTCCACACTGTCTGAATCTGTTTCTTTTTTGGCATTCTCATCCTTGAGAGAAAACTTTTGTCACTATCACCAGAATTGTTCCAAATACTATTTGAGGATGCTCTCTAGTTATCTGACTCCATATTTTAAAATATTGTTAGGTCTTCCTTTCAATAAATATGCATTTCTAGATAATCTCTACTGGATAATCATATGAATTGAAGTCAATATGTCCATATTATAATTGTTGACAAAATTCTGTAAACCTTTCTATTAGAAGCTTATGTACACTACAGTTAAAAATAGTTATCTGTTTGTAATTATTTACTCTTTGTATGTGGTAATTGTTCTTTAATGGGTGTGTATAATTCATATAATGTGAATAGAAACTGGATGTACTCAGTACATCCTTAAAGTGAATCAAACATGAGAGGACAATCATTATATTTGCATAGTACTGGAAGGATTAATATAGGTGGGCACTCATTCAATAGTATGATTTAAGTACACTGGCATAATGATAAGTCACTCAAGCCACACCAGCTGAGCTGATGCTAGTAATAAAGCTAGAAGAATGTTTGTAGGTATTGATTAAAAGTTAAAACAGGTAATTATTTCTTTATATAAATCACTGATTGAGACTCATTTGGAGTATTCTGTCATTTTTGATTTTTTTTACTTAAGAAAGGATATTGCCTTATGGGAAAAGGTTCAGAGGAAGTTTAATAGGATGATTCTGGTGATGAAAAGGTTGTCTTATGACAATCAAATAGTTTCTCTTGAGAAACCAAGGATAAATCTCAATATTATAGAAGTTAACAAGATTATCTGCAGCTTGTTAGGATGAAGGCATCTTATTCCATTATATTCTATTATGAACACAAGAGGATAACTCAAGTTTGAAATTTGGAAAAGAGAGGTAAAACTTCAGCTAAAGTTTTATATCCCAATGGAAGGAGTTGTCATAGCAGTAATAGAGGCCAGTACCTTATGGGAGTTTAAGGAGGAAATCAACTCCTGAAAAGAAATGGTTGGATAAAAATTCTTATTTTTAATTTTCCTCAAGGATGAGTGTGCAAAGACAGCTTTGAGGCCAAATGGTCTCTTGTTTTCTGTATGCTCTGCTTAGAAAATAAAAATGAATAAAAACACTATAGCCCGAGCACTATCGAAAGTTGGACCTTTCTTCTTCAGGGGCAAAAAAGATTCCCAGTCTGCCCCTGAAGAAGAAAGGTCCACCTTTCAAAAGTGCTCAGGTTATAGTGTTTTTATTCATTTCTATCAAGACTTCTTGAACCTATGTGTTTTTCTAACAATTAGAAAATAGAATATAGCCTATGTAGGCCAAATAACCATACTATTCCTTGGAAATTAAATGACTAGTAACCACATTGCTCATTTTGCATATATCTCAAATAATCTGCCATTAACGTTCATATTTTGGACAGATGCCTTTTGTCCCATGTTTGTACACGTAGCTGATTAACAATAAGTACAATTAGAAGGAATATTAACACTGAGAATACATGCAAATACAGCTGTGCTATATTACTGATACCTCCAAATATACAAACTACAGATTTTTTATTACAAAATAACATATATAAATCCTAAATTTTTTATTATGACTTAAATACACATCAAACTATAACTAGAATAAATAATAATAACTAATGACTTTTTTTGCTCTTGAATTTGTTATATAATTGATAATACTCATTCACCCTGATTCTGATCTCATTTACCCAGTTGAGAAGCACTGCCCAAGATCGACACACAAACACAAAATAAATAACAGTTCTCAAATAAATATCAGTCATCTGTCATAAACAAAACTTTTTTTTTTCAGTGAAAGAAAAATTACCCCAAAATTTATTTTAATAAATGTGTAATAACTAACAGTGCAAGAGTATAAGTTATAGTATAAATAAGCTAGGCTATAGTAATTTGTACACTGTACAGCTATATATTTCATACTCTCAGTCACAGATAATCATATCAGACTTTGGGATCTAATTATAACACTAATGTAAAGAATTGTCAAATGTTAGACTGTGATACTCTTGATAACATACTGAATAAATGAATTATACTATTTCCAGTTTTTTCTAACATCTGATTTTAAGTTAGGTCTAAAAGCTTAAGCTTAATTTGCAACCAAAGTCAAAATATTTAAACTCTTTAATTTAATTAAATTATTATTAAAAATATCATAAAATGACAAAGCTTAATTTTCAGGAGATAGAACTATTACTATTAGTATTATTCAGAATTAAAGATGAAACGAAATTGCCTAAGCTTTAAATAAATGTAAGTTAACTTAACTCTTGTCAACGCTTTTAAGTTTACATTTTAGTTACTCGTAAAATAACATTGACTAACAGTTATAATAACATTATTACTATTATTAACAAATCTTACTGTTTAACTCTAAGCTTTTAATCTACACCCTATGATTTAGGCTTAAGTTAACCTAATAACATAGTATATATAAAAACTTACAAATGGGAACTTTGCCAAAAATTGCCAGCCATGAGTATCGCTGAAAGTATAAGGTGAAATAGTCGTTTAAAATCTCCAGTATAATATAGGCTGTTTGCTAATTCAATAAAATAGTCTTATTCTTTTGACTAATTTGCCATCTCTAAAATAAATATCGTAGGTCTAACCCACCATTCCAGGCACTAGTTGATTGTTTCGCCTGAGGATTTATTTAAATCCTAGCGCTGTGCAAAAAATCTTGGAAAATCAACTCGTAATTCTGAAATAAGTCCTGTAGTTAGTAATATAGATTATTCAAAACACTTTATATAAATTTCGTGCATTTACTGAATTTTAGAACTAGTAAAACTCATTTGGTTAATTTTTATCATCAAATATGACAAAAAAAAAAAAAAGATACATAATCGAATATCTGGGTTATTAAATTCTACTTTTCTTCAGTTTTTACTAATGAAGATTTAAGCATGAACAGTTGATAGTTGGAAACTAGATTGAACAAAATAATCACAATAATTCTGAGCTGGTTAAGAAAAAATTTGGAAATTTACAGAATGATAAAGCTTCCTGGTTAAGGATTGGATATGTGAGCTACTTGCTGCTGGTTTGTTTTTTTTTGTTTTCTCTCTCTCTCTCTCTCTAAGTCCTTGAATAGTGGACAAGTGTCAGAAGATTGGAAGTTTATTTGTCATAACAATTGTCAACAATTACGAAAATATAAACCTGATTCCACGCTTTACTTGTTGTGATTTACTAGGAAAAAAAAAGATTTAAGCATTAAAATGAATGGTACACAGGTACTTGCCGGTCTTCACAATAAAAAATAATTTTGATATGATAATAAGTGTTAATACGCACTATGTTGCATATCTGCTTGCTTGTTAATTTCCAGTAGAAGTTCTTTCCGAGAAACTTCAGCGATACAAGTCCTTTCTTGACTAAAACTATTTTT